CCTCCCTCTAAAAGGTGTCCTAGTATACATATACATGGGTATGCTAGCTGTGTTCTGTACTAACGCTATGAACATACTGGCTGGTGTCAATGGAGTCGAAACAGGTCAATCTGTCATCATTGGGACCTCCATAGCTGTATTCAACGTCATTGAAATAGCCAGAGATCAGTTTGCTGCTAAGCATCTCTTTTCTTTGTATCTCATATTACCATTCATTGCTGTATCTCTCGCTCTACTCAGACATAACTGGTAAGTACGTGTACTATAGTACAGGGACTTTGGCCTGATTTCGGAGCAACTTTAAAAATTTGTAAAAAATCTAAATTTGATCAGAATCAGCTGAAATTTTTTATGCAATATAAAAACATGTATATGTACCAGAAAACATTATAAAAATGGAGAATTTTCTCCTTTTCATTTTTGGTGAAATTTGGCCAAAGACCCTGTACTATAGTACAGGGACTTTGACCTGATTTTGGAGAAACTTTAAAAATTCATAAAAAATCTAAATTTGATCAGAATCAGCTGAAACTTTCTATGCAATATAAGAACGTGTATATGTATCAGAAAACATTATAAAAATGGAGAATTCTCTCCTTTTCAATTTTGGCAAAATTTGGCCAAAAGACCCTGTACTATAGTACAGGGACTTTGACCCAATTTTAGAGCAACTTTAAAGGTTCGTAAAAAATTCAAATTTGATCAGAATCAGCTGAAACTTTCTACACAACTTAAGAACATGTATATGTACCAGAAAACATTATAAAAATGGAGAATTTTCTCCTTTTCATTTTTGGTGAAATTTGGCCAAAGATCCTGTACTATAGTACAGGGACTTTGACCCGATTTTAGAGCAACTTTTGAAATTTGTAAAAAGTTCATTTTTGATTGGAATCAGCTCAAACTTTTTACACAACTTAAGAACATGTACATGCATTTATGTGTACAGTATGTTGTTGTTTATGATATTTATTTTATTTTTCATTTTTAGGTATCCTTCAAAAGTTTTTGTCGGCGATACTTTGTGTTATTTTGCTGGCATGACTTTTGCTGTGGTAGCCATTTTGGGATCTTTTAGCAAGACAATGCTTTTGTTTTTTATACCCCAGGTTAGCAAGAGAGAATCTGATTGGTCGGTTCAGATCACATGATCTCTTCTTTAGGTTTTCAATTTCCTTTATTCTGTTCCCCAGCTGTTTGGCATAATACCCTGTCCAAGACACCGACTGCCAAAGTATGTCTGAGAATCAGTGTTAGTTCTAGAAATAGGTTTGGGAGACCAACCTAACTGTAAATGGTAGATTTCAGGAGACCTAGACCAAATATGAGAGACCAAAAGTCTCCTAAACTCCCTCTAGATCTAACAGTGTATTTATAATAATTAATATTATCCCCAACAGGTTTGATAGAGCTACTGGACTCTTAGGAATGAGCTATGCTAAGTTCTCTCCCGACCAGATGGGTCCTGGTGGAGCCGCTCTTTTAAAAACCCTCTCCTTCTTACGATTAGCCAAAGTCGAGTGGTCCCCGCCCTCAGGGAAAGAAAAGAAGGCGGAGATTAGCGTCAATAATTTGACTATTATTAATTATTTGCTTAAATTTATTGGCCCCACCCACGAGAGGACCCTCACCATATACATAATGACAGTACAGGTAAAACTGGTTTGACTGGTTTTCTTTATAATTACTCTCTCTCTCTCTCCTTCATTAGGTGGTAGGTACTATTATTGCTTTTAGTATAAGATATGGGTTTGTGAGGTTTTTCTATGACGTGGTACAATAACAATGATTGTTTTTTCTCTTCTTATAAAATGATACACTTACATTTAATCCTGTAAAATGATATGAAAAATAATAATATACTGTAGTAAAATGCCACAGCAAAGTAATGAGTAATGAGTAGATAATGGGAAAGCTTATATAGCAATAGTAAATGTTACTCCTCCACTTTTACCACAAGGAATAGCTTAAGTTGCTCACACCCAAAAATTGCTAGCTGGCAATGAAAGAGGGAGGATTCTTGTTGCTGTCCATTCTTCTTTCAAGCCTAGTCCTGAACTGCAAGGCAGTCACTATAGAAAGAATTCCATCATCAAAGTATGTAATAGCTTCTGAAGGTGAAGATGTATTGATATACTGTCTCACTCTTAATAATGATATGTCACAAGCTCAAACATCATGGAGCATCCAAAAAATTGGAGAAAGCATGTTTACTCCATTGTCATTCAATGGGTCTACTGGTGAAGTCACATTACCATCAGAATATATAGGGCAATTCACAGCAGTTGGTGAAATAGTACAAGGATTTAGTCCAACAAGGACATTTCAAACTAATTTCACTTTATTGAACTTCACTAGAGAGTTTGATTTAGCTCAGATTCTTTGTGGTATAAGGAACCCTAATGAAAATTTTGTGTATACCATAGGACTACCAGGTAACTTATCTATAAATCAAAGAATTAATGTACATGTTATATTGCCTCATAGTTGCTCCATCCCTGCTTCCAAGTGGTTCTGTTCAAACAAGAGAAGAGGGCAGTGTGGCAAATGTTAATCTACAGGGAGGATCACTCAATGCATTCCCTCCAACTATAACATCTTCACAATTATCATTAAATGGTAATTCTGTATTTAACACTGGAGTAACTGTGAATGATTATAATGTATCATTTACTAATGTACAACGTAATCAATCTGGTATATATACTCTAACTGTTAGTAATGATGCTG